ATAATTAAGAAGCAAACCGATTAGGCCGGGGCCAAAATGGAGTTAAACGGGGCTTTAAATAGATTTCTAGCACTGGGGGATCGATCCCCCACTGTTGGCAGAAAGGTGCAAAAAAATACCCCCTGGGGATCGATCCCCAAGCCCCTGGTAGCATTGCAGGATTTATTGTTTACTTGGCTACGGGATTTTCTTGTTTAGGCTTATTTTGTGAACTATTGGCCTCTAATAGGGTTTGTACTTAAGGGAAAGAAGGACCCATTAGTTGGGGAGTTTTTATTATTATTTTTTTTAGTTTTTAGTTTTTCTATAAGATATATCGTTCTCTCTGGAAAAAGCGAAAGAAAGAAAAAGTTAGGGTTTTGAGAAATATTCAAGGAAGAAGAAGCAGGAGCCAAAGATGGGAATTGGACTTGTTGACACCATGATCATCTCTTCCATGACCTAATTCTTCACTTAGGGCTTGGATGAGCCCTAAGTTCATATAACCTAAACCTTTGTATTTCTTTTCTTGGGGAATTAATATGTTGTAATTAAATATATGGCCTTGTGATTTCTTTATATATACGTGCTTGATTTAACAAATTAGGTCTTGTATTGATAAATTCTTCCATTGAAATCTCTAGTTGACTGTACGTCTTTGTATGATTAATTAGGGATTTTATTCTTCATTAGATAATTGAAAATTAATTCTTCCATTGATTCTATGTGTAAATTGCATGTCTGTGTATGATTGATTTAGAATTATACTCTACACTAGATACTTCTTATAGTTGTATTTAGTGATGGCCATTGCATAGTACTTATGTGATACAATTGTCAATTAATTTAATGGATAAAGGCTTAATCTTGATGTGTTTTACAAATTAGCTTACTTGTTATTAGTTAATTGTGGTTAAGTAGGCAATTTGTGCTTGTTTATGTTAATCCATGCTTCTAATTACAATTAATATTATTCTCTTGATTGATGTGTGCTCTTATTGGATACATTTGTGAATGTGTATGGTGGGTTATGACGTAGTCTTAAATAGGTTCTACACTTTAGTTTAATTGTCATTAAGTAGACAACTCATTCTTGATGTTGATAATCTATGTTTACAATTGTGATTTGTGATGATAATGTGGATACATCTATAATTACACTAATGATTTCCCCATTAATTGAAAGCAAATGGTTAATTACATGAGCTTAGTGGTGAATCATAATCCTAAGACTCTCTTCCTATCTCTTTAATTCTTAGTTTAATTTAGTTAAATTTATTTACATTGTCATTTCCATTTCTATATTTTTAATTGAACTCTAGCTTAATCACTTCACCAAAATCTTTTTCTCTCAAACTCAAACTCTCAATCTAATTAACTTTGAAACCAAGTTTAATCCCAACACGTGTTCAATCCCTTAAGAACGATCCCTTCTCACTTCATACTTGACGGTATAAGTGGCTTTTATATAAATTTAAAGTATGATGCCCGTTTGATACCATTTCCAAAACCTAAGTGTTGTGCATTATTTTGTGCACAAGCTCGGGTCGCATCACCATCATTGGCCAAAGAATATTCTGATATTCCCTCATTGAAAAGACCAAAGTACCCCTGCCACCTCAGCTGTTTTGTCCTTTAGTATACCAAAAAATTATAGCTCACATTGTAAGGCACATGCATCATTCTTATCTACACTTGGTGCTCAAGAAATTCATTTCTGTGTATATACACTCACTCTAGGACCACAATGACGTGTCACACATTAGGCCATTGAGCATAAAGATAAAAATACCCTTTATAAGCCACTTGTCACAAAATGCACAGAATTTGTCACTAAAACTGTAAAACATGCAATACACCTTAATTCTGTGATGATCAGTACAATGTAGCATACTAGACAAGTATGAAAAGGTCTAATACTACTGTGAAATGACATGAATGCCCCTGGATAACCCTGTAGCATAATACACACCTTAAACCTTATTAAAACCAGTAGAAAAAGGCCTGAGAACTATAATACAAATACAATAAACAACCCCTTAGGAACATTATAAGGCACTAAGCACAACAGGAATGGTGATAATACATATTGCAGCATTGTAAGCAATGATTTGACATTAAAAGTGCAAACACTGTGAAACACAAGAACCAATAGAATTAGAAAGGTAAGAGTAGAAGGATTTGGGTAGACAGTAAGGGGTGTATGTGACCCACTCAATGCAAAGGGATTTCGAAGAAGGGAACAAGATACAGGAAATCAGAGTAGTGAACCCGGTCTTCTCCTTAGTAATGTTGATATACTGGAATTTAAAATAATAATAAAAAGGAAATACGATCAAGAATCCCATGAACAGAAAGCTTCTGATACACTAGCGTAAACGGTGCACGGGTTGCTAGCAGTGGAGAAGGTAGAGGTCAGAGGAATAAGTGGTAACATGGTCGGTGGCAGTGAGTTTGTGGGGTTTGATTAGGTTTGATAGTGTGTGATTTAGCTTAAATTGTTTGAGTTTCCAAAACGATGGAGAGAATGTTATGGTTGGTGAGGTAAGTGATGGAGGTAGCCGTGATGGTGGTTGCAGGATTGGGTGTTGTGGTTTAATTGGGTTTGACAATGTGTGTTTTAGCATAAATTATTTGAGTTTCTGTTGGTTTGGTTGTAGTTATGGGGTGGTGGCAGTAGGTTTATGGGGGTGGCGGCAGTGGATTTGTGTGGTTCCTTTCGATATGGATGTAAAGTATCCGACAACCTTTGATCCATCTTTGAAGAATCAAAACCAGTTTTCAGCTAATTGAGATCTTCGTTAGTGGCGCTCTTGCTCTGTATGCTCCGATGGTCGTAGTTGACCTCTGTTTTAGCCACGCCTCGTCACGGTATATATTTGGTGACCAAGAATTCTGCTTATAGGCATGGATTTGACCGCTATACGTTTTTCTCTCTAAAACTCTCACTCAATCTCTTTCTCTCTCTCTCTATTGTAAAGTATATAGTATATACACACACACACACACACACACACACATATGTGTCTAAGTATACATGTGGTGATGGTTGAAAACAAAAATTTGGAGCCTCAACCACACCTTGTTGCAGTACATCTTCGGTGACCAAGAATTTTCTTTCTATTGTAAGGTATATACACACACACACACATACACACACACATATTCATTTTATTTTCACAATTTTCATTTTGTTTTATTTAGGGCTCTTTTTGTAATTTCATCTCACTTTATTCGGTGTGTTGTCGCACTCCTAATCTTACTAGTCACGTCAGCAACTCAAGAGGCTAAAGTTTAAAACTACGTCATTTTATAGTAAGGGTCAAATGGTCTTTTGCCTAATCTATTGGCCCGATGGGGGTAAAAATGCAATAAAATTATAGTTTAGGAGGGTTTCTTACCCCAATAGTTCAGTTACTTTTTATTTTATTATTTATTTATTTTTATTTTTTGCATTTTTTCGTTATATATATTATGTATGAGTCCATATATTATTTTTTTGTTGGTGAGAAACCCTCCTGAACTATAATTTTATTGCATTTTTACCCTATCAGGCCAACGAAAAAGGTTAACGCAATACCCCCTTGTGGTATAAAAGTAAATAAGTCAGTCCTTGTAATTTCAAAAGTGAACAACTTACCTCCTTACATTTCACCTCCATCTACTTTCTGTCGGATGTCATTAAATATTTACTAAACTATCCAGTATAATAATAATTATTTTTTTAAAAGTAAAAAAATATATAGAAGGCAAAAGATCTTAAGTACATTATACATACGAAGTAATAAACTGAGACATTATAGAACTCTAAATTGATTTTAAGTGTAATAAGTTTCAAAACATACATATGAGAAGGTGCAATTTACTAAATATCCTCCCTCATCTCATAGTTTCTAGTACACATGATGACACTTCATGTCAAATTTCCAACAAATCTTATAACACCGTTTTTGTTTTTGTTTTGGTTTTTGTTTTTGTTTTTGTTTTTTTGATCTACAAATATGTGGGTTGAGTTTGGGACCTTCCCATGAATATATCTGTAACCCAAGGACATTGTTTCTAATTTGCATCATTGTTTGGTCTTTGGATTGTGTAAGGAAACGTATATATATTTTTTATGGATTATGGATCTGTGAGTTGGAGGAAAAACATAGGGTTCAATCACCTTGCACGAGGCCTTATATTTTGGATGCCTTATATTTTGGATGTCTCTCTTTCTTTTTAGACGGACCCCAGCGATCCAGATATCTGATCCCCCTCTCTCTCTACTTTAATCTCTCTCTAAACTTCCTCCTCCTTTTCCTTCTGATTTGAAGACCTTCGCTTTTCGGATCGTAATCATACAACAATCAAAACGCTTCCTCAATAAAAATCATTAATTTAAACGCAAGTATGTTCTATAACCCCTCTCTCTCTCTCTATATATATGTATATGTGTATATTAGTATTGTGTTTTTATTTATTTAGTTTAGCATCGAATTTTAACGGTTGTAAGTGTCTGTTGGATTTGTTTCTCCGAACTACTGATCTGTGATATTTTTGTTGGTTCTGTTTTGGATGAATTTACAACATCTCTTTTCCATTTCTATTTACCCAGTTCATATCTTTCCCACCACTAGGGTGTTTGTGAATTGTTTTTGTACTTTTTGGTTATGGTAGTAAGCTAAAAGTCACGAATTGAATGTTTAAATGAATTAATGTTGGAATGAGAGCATAGAAAGCGTACGAAAATGAAAAGAAGATAACAAAAAAGGGTTTGATTAAAATAAAGGAATGCAAGAGCCGTTTTTATGGGAATATAGGGTTATAATTGTTATATTGAAGAGTATTTTCAAATTAATAAAAAAATATCAATCACATGCTTCATAATCTGAACAGAAAGTAATTAGAGGTGAAGTGTTATAAAGTAAATTGTTCTTTTTTTAAATCACATGAATTAACTTGTTCACTTTTGTGCTTGTGCTGGCTGGCTAAACCATATGGACTAAGTATTGCGCTCACTGGCTAAACTTTTGCCTAATTGAATAGAATCAGTGGCTGTGGCCTTCCTCTCCTTCAACCTTGGTCTAACCCAATTTTAACAATTAGTTTCCAAACAGAGCCAAGAAATTATGACAGCAGCATACTGTCCGACGTTCTGGCCCACCACCACCACCACAACGATTTTTTTTTTTCCAAATTCTGCCAACTTTGCCCTAGCCACCATCTCCTCCACCGCCATTCGTATTTCCCTCCACTGTCCACCGCTAGTTCCTCGGGGATTACACGGAAAGAGGTATTAGAGAGGGGGGAATTGCAGAGAGATCGGGGACAGAGAGAGGGACTCATCGGCGGCGGGCTAAACAAAAGGAACGATAAAAAACAAAAGAATGATGTAAAACGAGGTCGTTCCGGGTTGAAGAACGGGTACAGTAAGACCCGATTACAGCAGAGGATCCAACGCACCAAAAAAAACCCTCTTGCTCTCTCTCTCTTTAATTTTCACCTGCAAGGACCCTCTCGTCTCCCTCTCTTCTCATTTTCATCAGCAACAACCGGCAATTTGGGGCGATTTTCGGCGACGACGGGCGGCTTGGGTAATCGTCCTCTACTTTCTTTTCTTTTGTCACTCACAAACTGATATTTGGTTCTGTTTCGAAGTGAGTGTGTCCTGTTGAAGTGGTTTTAGGGAGAAATGCTCTAAAAGAGTAATTTTTTTTAGGGTTTTGTTGGGCGTTTTGTTAGATTAAGGCATATTTGCCCCAAAATCTAGAGTTTTTGAAAGTGGGTTTCTGCAACTTTGGGTTGTTTCAAAGAAGAGGCTGGATTTTGGTGGTCTTTCATTGTTTTCAGTGTGGGGGAGGAGGAGGGCACTTTGCTAGAGAATGTCCTACAACTAACAAAGAACCGAAAAGCTTTTTACGAGCTCTTGTTGTTGTTGTTGTTTCTTTGTTGTATTATTAAATTTTCTGTGTTAAAAATAAGCTGCTGATTGGTTAGTGTTTGTGTTACAGCAACAACTGCTGCCATGGAACTTTGCTGAGGGTTTTGACACTATAAATTTCATATTTGCCTCCGATTCCTGGGTCATTATCTCTGTCTCTCTGTGAGGTGGTGAGACATGAATCTGAAGCACCTTTTTTCTAGAAAGACAGTCAACATTATTTCAAGACTTGATGGAAGAATTATCTCTCCATACTCCTATATTTATAGAAATGCATCCACCATTACTACTTCCATATCCCCATCCTTCTATTCACCAAAGGGTCATCATGACTCTACTCTCTTCCAAAGCCCGAAATTCCCAAAACCCACTCCATCCTTCAACAGATACATCCACTCTAAGCAAAAAACTAAACTGAGTGGATCCAGCAATGATCCAGTCCTTGATTCAGATGATTCGGAAGAGGATGGAAACATGAACGAGTTCTTGTCGCGATTTGTCTGGATAATGCGTGGGAAGCTCTCTGAAGTCTACTCTGATTGTGACAAGCAGACAATTGATGGCATGCTTTTAATCATTGTTGGAAAGGTTGTGTCGGAAATGGAGAAGGGTGACCTTGAGCAGATGCTTGGTGCGGCGGGGATTACTCCATCAGATGATGTTTTCAGTGAGGATTTGTGGAGAACAGTCTGGGAGGTTAGCAATCTGGTCTTGGATGACATGAAGAAGGCTAAGAAGAAGGATAAAATGAAGGGGTTTCTTCAATCTGAAGAGGTTAAGGAGATGTGTAGATTTGCTGGTGAAGTAGGTATTCGCGGGGATATGCTGAGAGAGCTCAGGTTCAAATGGGCTCGGGAGAAAATGGAGGAGAGGGAGTTTTATGACAATCTGCAGCGTCTCCGAGAAGAAGATGTCCAGGCTCAAAAAGAAGAGGGTCAAACAATGTGTAAGAAATCTGAAACCATGGGTGAGGAGGCCGTTGGAAATCATTTGGGTACGTTTGAAGAGAAACAGAAGGTTATTACTCTCCCCAAGAGATGTGGGAAGATAAAGTATAAGATTTATGGCCTTGATCTGTCTGACCTGAAGTGGGCTGAAGTGGCTGATAAAATACATGAGAGAGGGGAGATTCTTTGGCCTCAGGAACCTAAAACAATATCTGGAAGATGCAAATTGGTTACTGAGAGAATCCTTTCATTAAAGGAGGAGGATGATTATTCTCCTTTGTTAGCTGAATGGGTAGAGCTTCTCCAGCCTAGCAGGATCGACTGGATTGCTTTGCTTGATAAGTTGAAAGAACAAAATACTCAATTATATTTTAAGGTACACCACTAATTATTTTTTCTCCATAATATAGTAAACTTGGATCTTGAGCAGAACTTGTGATATGCTTCTGATTTATTTCTTAACATTTTGTTCATATGTTCTCAACTTTAGATTTTCTACTATTTTTCCTCAGTTTGTTGAATTATCTTATGCTAATGAAATTGTCATAATGTAATGCTCGGTTTGGTTGACAAGATTCCTATCCATATTTATAAATTATTGGATTTTCTTTTTCAGTTCGGAATGGTGGCATGCTCTGTAGTTTTTTCCTTCCTCATTTTGCTGTTTTATGATAGGTTATTGTACATATTGAGTAGAATAGACAGAGGACATTTTTTCTATATGAAGTCTAAATGCAAAAATGATTTGCCCATGTTTCTATAGTTTACGTTTACTTCTATTTTTTCAATGATTTTCTTTTGTATAAGAACTTTTTGGATTGAATTTTGGGGTATTTTATTTATTTATTTATTTTAATAATTTGCATTTGTATTAGAAAAACTTTTTGGATTGGATTTTGGGCTGCTGGATTTGGTTAAAAGGTTTCTTGATTTTGTGTGAAAAGCTTCTGGGTTTTGGTTTTGGCTTATTTGGTGCATCCCATATGCTCTGTTTGGTTGGAGGGATGGAAAAATAGATGGAAGTGAGAGGGGAAGGGATGGATGAGGCATCATCCCTTGGGAAGCGAATGTGTCTCCCCCACTTTTTGTCTAGTTGGGTGGAATGGATAGTAGAAAGGATGGATGGGGTTACACTTTTTCTTTTTGGTTGGAAGGAATGGATGGGGTTACACTTCTTCTTCTTCTTCTTCTTTTACCAATATACCCTCATTACAATAATTATAAAAATTAGATATTCATTTCAAATTTTTGGGAAGGTTAAAAATGGAAATTACATATTTATGGTAATTATCCATTCTTTCTTTCTCCTCTACCCCCAATTTTGGGAGATAGAAAAATACAAAGCAAGGAGGGATGCTTCATCATTTTTTTTTTGATAAGTAAGGAGGGATGCTTCATCATTGAATCGTAGGATTTAAGCTTTGAAGAACATTTAACATTATGCTCTCAATTCTTCCTATCCATGGTTTTTTTTTTGTCTAATAAATGTTTATTTTTTCTATGCAACATTTGTTCATTACTGTTATCTTTCTTATTTTTCTTCCACATCTCTTTTTACATGTTGATTTTACTATATCTAGTAATTCTTTTACCAAGAAATGTGTACTTCTTAGAGTCACCTCATGCCTGCAGGATCATGCCTTTAGCCTTGATGTTTTAGAACGCCTGTACCTTTGGTCTGCTTATAGACTCTGGGTAAACACTAGAATACCTAATTCTCTCCTAGAGTGGCCATTTGGATATCAGGTTGAGAATTAGGCCCTCTCGGAGCAAATTTGCTATAAATCTGCAAAGTCATTTTATGTGAGCATAGAGTCTACTACGAATTTGACTTTTTGACTGTATATTTGGATAAGTCTTCACATTTTTAATCTTGAGAAACCATGGACATGAAGCCCAGTTCTATACCCAAAGTGAAATGGAGTCTCAAAACACACCGTTCCTTTTTACTTATCAGAAAAAAAGCTCCTCTTTCCTTTTCCCTAATAAAAGATAATATAATGAAGTTATGAAGAATCCTCATGAAAACATGATTAGATTTGTAAAACATGCAAGTTTTAATTAATAGCAAGAGTCAAACCAAGCTAAGAGATGACCAATAAAATTACCTATCAAAAAACGAAAAGAAAAGAGATGACCAATAAAATTCATTGGCCACTGAACTAAACATCAGCATCATTTTTTTTGATAAGTAATAATAAATTAAAAAGGGCGTTCAATAGGGGAACGCGTCCCGTGGACAAAGGAAACATCAGCATCATTATCATCCTTGCCTTTTTCCCAAGAGTCAAACAAAGCTAAGAGATGACCAACAAAGTTCATTGGCCATTGAACTAAACATTAGCATCATCATCATCCTTGCCTTTTTTTCCAAATTAATGTGGTCGGCATGCCATTGAACTAAACAAAATTCTTATTGTTGGGGTAGCGGAAGTGTGCGAAACACAACGATCCAACAAAAGCCAACAAAACAATCACACACAAACACATGATATACATGGTTCAGCCAAAATCAGCCTACGTCAATGGATGAGAAGAGATTTCATTATGATTCGTAGAGATATTACAACAATAGAGTACCAACACCACCACTCCACGAGTTTATTTCCTCGCTACCAGTACCAGCGTCACTGATGTTTTTCCGACTCTACCAACCCGCATACTACCTCTACTCATCAATTCCCTTATGAGATTATATCTCTCTCATTCTCATAAGTCTAAACCCACAACATATGTACCTATTTATTGAGTTACAAACACAATTCTTTGTTAGACAAGGATTACAATTCCTTAGAGGCCAAGATTGCCAAATAAAAAAATACCTAATAGAATACAACTCTAAAATAGAATCCTAATTAGAATAGGAATTTGAGACACAATTTCTAATAATCTCTACCTTGGCTTAAGTTCCATTCAGCTACTTCTTTCGCATCCTCCACATGCCCCTAAGGGCCTTAACAATTGCATGTACTAATCAATTCCAGATAGTGTCTGAACTTGAGTGTAGGAATGACCTTAGTCATCATATCTCCCAATCTTTCTCATTGCAATAGCACCCTCTGCAACCACATCTTTGATGAAGTGAAACATGACATTAATGTGCTTGGTCCTCTCATGGAACATTTGATTTTTAATCAAATGTATGGCAGTCTGTTTGTCGCAAAACATAGTCAAATCATCCTACTGCAAGCCCAAATCACCAACCAAGCCTCTCAACCATATAACTTCCTTCACTGGCTCTGTAGCTGCCATGTACTCAGCCTTAGTAGTAGACAATGCAACTACGGGCTGCAAAGTCGCCTTCCAACTGATCACACTTCCACAAAGAGTGAAAACATACTATGTCAAGGACCTGACCTCTTCTCAATCAACATATCCAGCATATTCCCAATCAACATATCCAGCAACACTCCTACACGTGTTGCTGCCTCTGTTATAGACTAACCCAACATCTGGTATCGTAATACCCACTTCACAGCCTGCTAGTGGACCTTTCCAGGTTTATCCATGTATCTGCTCACTACATTAACTGCATGTGAAATGTTTAGCCAATGCACACCATAGCATACATAAGGCTACCAATTGCACTAGCTTAAGGAACACGAGACATGTGCTCCACCTCCTCCTCGGTCTGTGGTGACAATTGTGCTGAAAGTCTAAAGTGGGCAGCCAATGGAGTATTCACAGGTTTTGATGCTTGCATACTGAAGCATTCCAGCACCTTCTTAATGTATTTCTTTTGTAACAAATACAATCTGCCCGCTCCTCTGTCCCTGTGAATTTCCATTCCCAATATCCCCTTTGCAGCATCAAGATCTTTCATCTCAAATTCACCACTGCCTTCAATATGTTGATTTCACACATGTTCTTGCAAGCTATCAACATGTCATCAACATACAGCAACAAGTGCAAATACGAACCATCTGAAAGCTTCCTGTGATACATACAACTGCCAAACTTACTCCTACGGTAGCCATTCTCAACCATAAAGGTGTCAAATCATTTGTACCACTGTCTAGGAGACTGCTTCAGCCCATACAAGGACTTCTTCAGTAGGCAAACATGATATTCCTTTCCCATAATCTCAAACCCTCAGGCTGATGCATATAAATCTACTTTTCCAACTCACTATGCAAGAAAGCAGTCTTGACATCAAGCTGCTTAAGCTCCCAGTCATACAGAGCAACCATAGCAACTAACACCCGGAATGAGCTATGTTTCACCACAGGAGAGTACACTACATTCAAGTCCACCCCTTCCCTCTGTGTATAACCCTTTGCCACCAAGCGTGCCTTGTGCCTCGCATCTTCCACCCTTGGAATTCCTTCCTTTTTCTTGAAGACCCATTTACAGCCCACAATTTTCTTGTCCTTAGGCTTCTTAACTAGCTCCCAAGTCTGGTTCTTATGAAGAGACTCGATGTCCTCACTCATGGCGACAGATCATTGTGTTGACTCTCCACCTATGATGGCCTCATGATAAGTACACAGCTCATCAATATCCTCTGCCACACTAAGTGCATAAGCAATCGAATTAGCATGTAAAAACCCATACTTCTCAAGTGGCCTAATATCCCTCCTAGGCCTGTCTGTAGCCACACTATATTGTTGCAACTGTGCATCTCCCTCAGCCCGAAATTGCACTTGCTTGTGAGTCGACCGAACAGGACTATCCTCTAACTGAACCTCTATATACTCCACTTGCTCACTTACACCCCGAGCTTTCCCTGAATCAACTACCTCCTTTTGCGGAGTAAGCATCGCAGACTCATGAAAGGTTACATCCCTGCTAACAAGTATCTTCTTTCCCGAAGCCTCTCGGCACCATAATCTGTATCCCTTGACCCCAGGCTGATAACCAAACAATATACATTTCTTAACCCTTAGTTCAAGCTTCCCCTCATTCATATGAGCATACGCTGGACACCCAAATATTCTCAGATTATGGTAACTAGCATGAGAACCAGACCATACCTCTGGAGTCTTACATTCCATAGCAGTTGATGGAGACTGGTTCACCAAGTAACTAGCTATAGAAACAGCTTCAGCCTAAAATGCTTTGTCTAACCCTACATTCGACAACATACATCATGCCCTCTCCAATAACGTTCTGTTCATCCGTTCTGCAACTCCATTCTGCTGCAAAGTCTTCCTCACTGTGTGGTGTTTCCCAATCCCGTGAGTTTTCCAGAACTCATTAAATTCTCCATCACAAAATTTCAAGCCTTGTCTGTCCTCAAGCACTTGGCCTGTTTTTCTGTCTGTTTCTCAATCAAGGTCTTCCACTGCTTGAATGTAACAAAAGCCTCATTCTTGTGCTTCAGAATATAAACTCAAACTTTTCGAGAAAGTCATCAATCAGCGTCATCATATAACTACCACCACCTTGAGAGGGACCCCAAAGATCAGAATGAATATAATCCACCGTACCTTTGGTCCTGTGAATTCGGGTACTGAACCTCACTCTGCATTGCTTCCCGAACACATAATTCTCACAGAAATCCAGCTTCCCAGTTTTTTGACCACCAAGCAAACCCTGCTTACTCAGAACATCCATTCCCCTCTCGCTCATATGCCCAAGCCGCATATGCCACAATCTGGTAGTATCTAAATCCGAATCTGAGGATGATACAGCAATTGAACCCGTGATTATGCTATCCTGTAGGGCATATAAACCATGCTTCTTCAATCCTGTCATCATCACAAGAGCTCGAATGACTCCACCTCCAACTTTATAAGTGCACCCGATGGAATCTAGCGTGCCCAGGGAAATCAAATTCTTTCTCAGTTCTGGTACATGCCTCCCTATGCCGTCATACATCTTGATTCGAACTGTACCGATACCTACAATTTATTTATTTATTTATTTTTGTAATAATCGATTAGAAAAGCGTTCAAAAGGGGAACACTTCTCTAATATAAAAAACGAAAGCTAAATCTAAGGACCTATAGAGTCCAAAAGATTAACTAAGTCATCAGTAGAGGAGCAAGTGCTTCCTTTGACATAACAAAAAATAGAGCGAAGAATATGAAGTTTCAAGGTTGCAAAAGGCGATTTCTTTCCTTCGAAAATTCTGCTATTCCTCTCTTTCCATACGCACCACCAAACACAGTGTGGAACTATCCTCCAATAATCGCGAGCATGGCTTCTCACTAGGTATCCTCTCCACGCGTTACTCAGTCCTTCGGAAGATCGAGGCATTACCCAATGTATGCCGAATATGCCGAAGATGAGGTTCCAACAATCGTACGCCACCGGACAGTGCATAAGAATGTGATCCACAGATACACCATCTCGTTTGCACAGACAACACCAATTAACGATAGTATTACATCTCTTCCTCAAATTTTCCAACGTCAAAATCTTACGCCAAACGACAGTACAAACAAAGAATGCCACTCTAAGTGGAGTCTTGGAACGCTATATAGTCTTCCATGGGAAAGCAGGACCAACGAAGTTGGAAAGGCATAGAAACATGGACCGAACACCAAATCTTCCATCGGAGGAAGGAACTCACAAAATGTCATCACTAGCTTTGCTAACTTCCTCCTGCTGATACAACGTATCTAGAAAGGCACATACCTCATCCATCTCCCAATCCTGAAAAGAATGCCTAAAGCGCATATCCCACATAATCCCACTGCTATCAAGTCGATAACAGTCAACTACGCAGGCGTGTTTATTGTCGGTTATACTATAGGGTCTAGGAAAGGAGCAAGACAACAACTGATCTCCACACCATAAGTTCTCCCAAAATTGGACACGCCTATCATCGCGAACCTTGAATTTGATATGGGAAGAAAAGATATCCCAACCCTTCCGAATGAATTTCCACACGCCAACGCCTCCCGCAATAGAGACTGGACGGGAAGACCAACTACCGCTCTCCTCCCCAAAACGACACGAAACAATCTTTCTCCACTAGCGATGTCGTTCCGTACCGAATCTCCACAACCACTTTCTCAAAAGAGCTCTGCTAAAGGGAACCAACTTTCGGATATCTAAACCGATACCTACAACCTTGCACGCCGCATCATTCCCTATCAGAACTTCCCCTTCGTCAATAGATTGATAAGAGGAAAACCAGTCCTGTTTGGACAAGCATGAAACAAGCAACCCGAATCAAGAATCCACTCATCGCAAAAGCTGCCGACTGAAATTGTGAGAACATTTCCACCATCTGAATCATTACCCTTTGCAACAGCCACACTTTCAACTTCAGAGGATTTTACCTTTCCCTTATGCTACGGACAATCCTTTTTGAAGTGCCCTTCCTTGTGACAGATGAAGCATCTCAAAACCTTCGTTTTGTTCTTAGACTTAGAACGACCTTTGCTGCTAGACCCTACCTTCTGATTCGTTCTCCCTTTAACAAATAACCCCTCTGCCAAACTTTCTGTATTGCCCTCAAATGCCCTTTTCTGCAACTCCTTAGAATTCAGAGCTGCCTTCATGTCTTCCATGGACAAGGCAGTTCTACCATAAATCATTGTATCGACAAAGTAATCATACGAGGGTGGTAGAGAACACAACAGAATAATAGCCCGATCTTCATCCTCTATCTTGACATCAATATTATTCAAATCTATGATGATACTATTTACCTCGTCAAGATGGTCTTTCAAAGTTGACCCTTCGTGCATCTGAAGAGTGAACAACCGCTTCTTTAGATATAAGTGATTCGCAAGAGATTTCGTCATATATCGGGAACTTCTGCCACAGCCCATCCGCTGTAGTCTCTCTAGCAACCTCTCGCAGAACCTCGTTACTCAAGCACAACAAAATCGTACTGAGTGCTTTCTCCATAACCTCATCTTTGTCCTTGATCTTTTCGCGCAGTGCATCCTTCCCCTTCAGCGCTTTGGATAACCCTTGTTGAGCCCACAAAGCCTGCATCCTAACCCGCCACAGGTTGAAATCATTTATGCCGTTAAACTTGTCGATTTCAAAACTTGGACGACATCCCTGCTGCGAACCGAAAGCTCCGATACCAGTTTGTTATGACAAATGCAACGAACCCAAGTTGAATCAAGAATCACGATAGAAAAGTAAACACACTACACAAAGAACACAAAGATTTGTACTCGAGAATCCTTGTCCACTTATTTTTCTTCACATCTTAAAAACTATAAAAAAAAGAATCACAAGTTTTTTTTCCTCTTTTTCCTTTGATTGTTATTTATATTTATTCACCCAGACACACATGTAATTGAATTATATATATTATATGTGTGTGTGTATGTGTGTGTGTGTGTGTGTTTGTGTACAAATGCCCTGAAGCACTGTAGACTACTAGATATTTCTAAAATCACTGCTTTTGTGTGCTCTCTCTCTCTCTCTCTCTCTCTCTATCACTCATTGCTACTGTGATTTCCTGAGGTAAACTTGTATTTCTTAGACTGATACTGATGCAATGTTCAGGAAGAAGATGTCTTAAACTTCTTTGAAGGAGTTCGACAATTGCCAATGTAAAATTTTTTTCCAATTGCAATCTAATGGTTGAAACTTTATTTTTAAATGGGGAAAGGAAAAATTCATAGTGATATATGTTTCTACGTGATCCATTGGATTGTTGGGGCCCAATTCAATTCCATAGGCAATAGAATCTGTATTGACCTATGTGTGTTAAAACTCCAACAGAACGATAGGGGTATAGAAATCATTCTTTCATTGCAGTTTTTTTTTTTCTGACATACAGAAATGCGATCAACTTATGAGTTGGAATTAACTCTATATGAACCAATTGTGTTACTCTGTCTCACTTTAATTAGTTGGGATGCATACTTCACTCTATATGTAGTCTCCAGGTCACATTGATGAGTAATTTCAATTAGGATGACATTTTTATAATCTTACTTCTATCAAGTATAAGATGCAATTCATGCTCCTTTACTGGTATATGCATGCTTGTGGGTGTTAGAATGTTACTCTACATTTGGTTTCTTGGCATCTGCATTTTAATCTGAATTTCCAATTGTTTGCAATCTTATTTATTACCTTTTAGATGAAAGAAATATGAGTGTTGTCACGATGTGCTCTTCATTTTCTGTTTCTAATAGGGTCAAATTATATGCTCCTGAAACCCCAAGGAGGTAGAATAGTTGGCCAAGGATGCAGCTTGAGAAAGCAAAGGTCTTGGGTTGAACTCCACCCTTGGGAGTTGGTACCAATCTTACAGTGGTTTTCCCTGCACTGAAATTAGCAAGCAATTCTGAAACATTTTTTATGCTCCGAGAGGATTAGTCCAACTGAATGGTGGGGATACCCCTCAAGTCATCACGTGTGTGCATGTGTATATATATATTTCAAGTTAATTTTTTGTTTCAGTTAGTAAGTTTTAAGCTTCCTTGGGTTAGGTTGTGCCGTCTAAATCCTACCAGCTCTCTTTTTGAGGGCTTTCTATATGTATAATCTGCTTCTATCTTGTCAGACATGGAATTTAACCCTTTGGCTTGGCTTGTCTAGGACAGAGGACATTGTGCATTTGTGCTGCCATTGTGGCTCCTGCAATGATAAAGGAAATGAATTAATATAACGGGGCAAAGGCATATTGTATATATTCAAGTAGTTTCCAGTGAATTTGTTTCGTATATATATTTTTTTTGGGATGGGTGTAACATCTAGTGGGTATCATCCAACTGTTTGTTGGTGTATGAAGAACATTGAGCACTGAACCAGCTGTATATGACAGAAATTTAATATCTGTTTGTTATGATTTTTAGTAACTCGATGATTTTTATGTCTATTTTATAGGTTGCAGAACATGCCCTGGCGGAAGAATCTTTCCAAACTGACATTCGTGATTATACAATGCTCATTGATGCCCATGCTAAAGCGAACCGCTTGGAAGATGCTGAGAGGATTCTTGTGAAAATGAAAGAAATTGCAATCCTGCCTGATATTCTAACATACTCTGCATTGGTTCACATGTACAGCAAGGCAGGCAACATTGACCGTGCGAAAGAGGCATTTGAAAACTTGAGGAGCCAAGGCTTCCGACCAGACACGAAGCTTTACAACTCAATGATCATGGCATATGTAAGTGCTGGGCAATCCAAGTTGGGTGAGTCATTGATAAGAGAGATGGAGACTAGGGATATGAAACCCACTGAGGAAATTTACATGGCATTGCTCAGGTCATATGCCAAGCAGGGTGATGTCTCTGGAGCCCAACGAATTGCTTACACTATGCAGTTTGCAGGGTTACAAGATAATTTGGAGTCTTGTACATTGCTTATTGAGGCATATGGGCAAGCCGGTGACCCAGATCAGGCAAGGAGCCAGTTTGACAGAATGATTACATCTGGATTGAGGGCCGATGACCGCTGCATTGCTAGCATGACTGCAGCTTATGAGAAGAAGAATTTATTGGATAAGGCCTTAAATCTTTTACTGCAGCTTGAAAAGGATGGGTGCGAGCCCGGGGTTGCAACTTACAGCGTTTTGGTGGATTGGTTGGGTAAGTTGCAGCTAATTGATGAAGCTGAACAAGTATTGGGCAAGATTGCTGAGCAGGGTGACCCTCCTCCTTTTAAGGTTCATATAAGCCTTTGTGAAATGTACTCGAGAGCTGGGGCTGAGAAGAAGGCTCTTCAAGCCCTAGGGGTTGTTGAGGCTAAGAAGGAGCTTTTGGGGGCACAGGACTTTGAGAGGATTATAAAGGGGCTTGTAGCTGGTGGGTTTGAACAGGATGCTCAAAGGGTACATGGGGTGATGGAGACCCAGGGATTTGTAGCATCACAGCCTCTTAAGATGTCTTTGCAGTCATCTCAAGCCTTTAAAACAATCAAGAGACGTCAATGAAATAGTTTTTTAATCATTGAGGAACACTGACACACTGTGACTGGCCAAAGAAGTGAACTGAGCTCTTCAGCATATTATTTTCAGAATCTCTCCATGTCACAGTGTTTCACCATGATTCTCCTGCTCCTAACAGTGTTACATATCTCTGCAAGGTGAAACCATCATGTCCTGTTTTCATTATGAACTAAGAGTGGTAGGTCGTCAAGTTTTATTTTTCTCTTCAATTCAAATGTTAATGCAGAAGATGTTTGATATACATTTACCTCTTCTTTATTCTAGGGCATATACTTGCATATTCCTAAGTTTTAATCTCTTTATGAATCGTGCCTATGAAGATGCGGTCATTATTTATTTGCAAGTTGTACTGGTTTTTCAACCATAACTAAGTATTTGGCCTTGTTTGCTGTTAATGACTTTTCAACCTTTGCTGTATGTCAAAACTACCGGTGTGATATTATTCTGACATTATTTATTTTTTATTTTTTTAAAAAAAGAAAACGAAATTAGTGATGTTCTAGAGTGTGTCATTGCCCCCTGGATGTTGAAATCCAAACCTCCCTAAATTACAACTCACTCAAGTGCCTATAGCTAGGAGTCATAGGCACTTGATTTTATTAGCAAATGCTTGCTACTTCTTAATTGTGCCTAGGCTTCTGCAGTGTATTTATATCTATTAGGGGCTTTTGGTATGCATCAAATGCCGAAACTTATACTGGGCCATTGAACTTGTTCCAGTACCAGTTATTTGTAACAGCAGTGCACACTAGAATGAAAGATAATGACTTTTTCAGACCATTTGTTGTATGTGATGTTTTAACATTGGTCTAATGTCCATTTTTGTGGCTTTCCTATCCTGGCTTCTGGTGGCTCATTCTAATTGTTTCCATGTTACACAGTAGTAGATACTATAAGCATAGTTTACTGTTTGACCAGAAAGAATTCATATTTTGTTTGTGTATGACAATTATAATTTGAGTTGAAAGGTTTTATCCGATAGAAATTGCAGTACAGGAAGCTCTCAGTTAGATTTTAATAGTAATCTCCCCAATGAACTCATTAATTTGCCTATCTTCTCCACTCCACTGTTCCACTACCACTGAAGGCACTATTGACCTGTCCTCATTTTGGGATGATAAGAGGAATTTAAAGGGTGAAAGAGGAAAAAACTATCAGGGGAGTGTCCTCAATTTTTGGTTGGATTAAGAGATATTGGATCAAATGTGTGCGCGTGCACGCGCGTGTATGTGTGTTTTTATTTAAAAACATCTACGGGTTCATTGGTTGAACATGAATGGAGGCTGCTTTTATTTTGGGTTCTTAGTTGCTGTTGTTCTGCTTGAAAAAGTTGCAGTTTAACTTTTGATTATGCCTGAATTCCTCTATATTTTCAATGCTTGTTTCAATGGAAAAAAAGCCTAGTTGCTCTTTGGATCATGTCTGTATTATTAGAATTATGCAGTTAGGGATATGATAGTGCAACAGGTGGTGGTCATAATTTTCTTGGACTGCAAAAAGTTTAAACTCTATCCGGCTATGTTTGGTTGCACGGAATTGGACTTGGAAAATAATGAATACAAATACCTGACATATTAGCATGGAAACAAACAGTGTAAGCATATTAGAGAGAACTAGGAACTAATTAGAACTAATCCTGATGATGAAGAAATGTATTTGAACTTGGAACTAATTTGAACGCATTGCTTGCCTGTTAAAACATGCCTTGGTGTGTTCTTTTCTTGATAAACTAGGAGAATCAAAAGGTATCACCGTGGAGGACTCCATAAGGCAATTGAAATGACCTGCCAGATAAGGAAACTCTGTCTAGGGAATCCACACTAAGAGCTGAAGAAGCAATCAGTGTACATAAGAAGACACAAACTATCCAAAGGTATATAAACCTATACTGTGACATCCAAACATCATCATTGCTAAGAACATCAAACCATCATCTACTTCTTTTGCCAGTTTATTTTCTTCTATATTCTCAATGGCAAAACGAAGGACGGGATTCCGTTTTCAGCTCCCATGGCTACCAGCAGCACCAGCTCGTTCACTTCTTCGCCCTACAACTACAACTCCAGTCCCTACCCAACCCACCACCACAACTGCCTCCACCCAACCACCCCCCACAGCTTCAGCTCAAAGGCCTGCAGAGTTAGCCCCGGTACAACCCCCTCCACAAGCTCAACCATCAACAAGAACCGAGTCTCAGCCGCCTTCACCGGCTCGTGCAGGGGCTCAGTCCAGAGTCACTTCTCAACCCTCATCACCATCTCGTCCAGGAACACAGTCTGGTGCTACCGCTCAACCCTCGTCACCATCTCGTGCAACTCCTGAACCTCGACTTGCATCTCAGCACTCGTCTCCTCGCACAGTTTCCCAGACTCAACCAACATCACAAACAGCCCCTCAGCCTCGATCTCCATCCCGTTTGGCCTCTCAACCTGCAGGCCAAACACCCACACCACCTCCATCATCGGTAACCACCCAAACGCGGCCAACAGCAGGAGCAGTCCCTCAGCCCCCATCACCACCAAAAAACTTAGAACCCACATCTCCAAAGGCCCCTCAATCGCCTCCCAGCACTACTAAACCACCACCATCTGCCTCTCTAGATGAGCCAGTGCCAGCAAAATCTCAAACAGAAGAATCAAAAGAGCCTCAGCCAAATACAGAAATTACATCCAACAATGTTCTCAACTCCCAAAACCAAACACCAGCTGAAAAAACCATCCAACCTGAAGGGATGGCACCACAATCTTCCCAAGTGTCACAACCTATAGCACCAACTGCACCAACAACAACACCAGCCCCAACCTCAAAACCAGATTCTTCTATCATTACTGCTGAAACTAAGCCCTTTCCCAAATCAGATGGAAAGATTGAGGAAACTGAAAAAAGGCAGGATGAAGTACAAGAAGTCTCTATCATTACTGCTGAAAGAAAGCCCTTTCCTGAATCAGTTGGAAAGATTGAGGAAACTAAAAAAAGGCAGGAAGAAGTGCAAGAAGTCGGAAAAGAAGGGAAGACTAATGGAGCAGTTATTGAGGAACCAAAGCAGAAGGCAACTACTGAGCCATTAACTATAACATCAAGCTCAAATGCAGCAGCAGCCAAAGAGCAGCCAAGTGTTGCATTTCAAGTCGAACAAAAGCAGCCAGAGGAGGAGATTCTTGACACAAAGGAGACGTCACTCACTGGCTCTGACAAAAAACTAGAGATCAAGAATGTGATTTCAGATCCGAAGGACAAAATCACAGTGAGTGAATCGCGTCAAGAACCATCTACAATCAATGGCGAACAACCTCCTCTGCACAAAGAGATCAAAGATGACAGTTCCAAGTTTCTCCATAAGATGGCTACTGGCCAAACAATACATCCCATGGATGACAAAGCTGCTAGTGTCAAAACTCTATGTGGTGAAAATAGAGGAGCTTCCATGCAACGAGGGAGGTCAAAAGATCCAAGAACCACCAAAGATCAAGTAACAAAAGCAGATGTAAACAGCAACACACAATGTATCAATAACTCAATTGTGTTCAACAGTTCTGTTATTGAACAAAACCCTGGAGTCCAACTATTTCTATCCCACAATCCACATCCTGTGATTCCACTAGGTCTTCCCGGAAAGTTTCGTTGATTTTCCCGGAAAATTTCAATTGCCAAGAAAAGCAAGATTCTAATCATTGGTGGAACTGGTTACATTGGAAAATTAATTGTCGAAGTGAGCGCAAACGCCGGTCACCCCACCTTTGCTATATATATATATGTGGGTGTGGGTGTGTATAAATATGATGTATATATTTGTGTATAAATATGATGTATATATTTGTGTATAAATATGATGTATTATTGGTCGGAGTAGCACAAATTAGGGATAAAATGAAAAAAAAAAAAAATCGGTGTGGACATGTTCAAAGATGACTTTTAAAAGAAGAATGACATAGTCTATATCGAGGGTAATGTTCGGGCAGAGGAAGACCAAAGTTAACATAGGCAGAGTTGGTAAAGTAGCATATGATAGCATGTGATTGGACTAAGGTTATAAATTTAGACAAAGCGGAATGGAAATATAGGATTCGTGTAGCTGACTTCAAGTAATTGGGAAAAAGAGTTGTTGTTGAAGTACCCGTGTCAGATACACATTACACAGATATAAGTAAGGAATATGTATCCGACACTTTTGGTTGGACATGTTCCAATAAAGTATATCATATATGTAGACACCCCATTTTTGCGCTCCCCCTTTTAATATACCAACCATCTAGACTCCAAGAAGGAATGGCGTTTCCATCTCCTGAGACCATTTCCCGATATAGTACGCTTAAGGTATAAAATTGAAAACGGAGAACACGACCGTCCGATCGGATATCGGACTTCACCATTACACTTATAACATCACATAATCTCTAGAAACACTTCGATCCACCACATCACACACTTCCCGACACCCAATCACCAATTCCTCAAAAAGGGCAAAATTAGAATTTTACACTACAACCCTGTGATCCAATTGTCAGAATGACAAATGGATTTCACCTTTACGTCCAGAGCACCCAAAAACCTCAAGGTACACTTCTTCTCAAAGTCCCTACTTGGTGGCTCAGTCGTTGGTTACACCAAAAGTTTGCAAGATATGAACTAAGAGTGTGAGTGTGCAATGTGGCCAAGTTTTAAATTTGTAAAAGCCACTACTACCTCTAACTAAAAATATAGTTAGGGTAAGTAGGGATCGTCCCCAGGGATTGTGGGTGCCTTTGCAATGGAAACAATATATAGGGCTAGTAGGTCGAGTGATCAAAGATTGGTTGGATTGATTGATTAAGCTATTATGTAAATAAAATTAAAGTAAACAAAATTCAATGATTAAAAAATTAGAGAAAGATATTGTGATACCTCCGGATTTCCGAATGCGGGTTGGCCAGGCCCACGCCCGAATACCCGAGGATATCAAAACAAATTGATAATAAACGAACACAGAGTACAAAAGAATAAAGAAGAATAAACAAAATGCTGACAAGAAACTAAAATGATAATCTAATAATAAACCTCAGAATATATTTCCATTAATTAATAAATTCTTCTGATACAACTGATCCACCAAAATACAACTCGGGAATCCATACTGTGTGGACCCCTAGAAAATCCAAACTAAACAAATGACAGCAATAACTATCTAAATCAGGAAATTGAATCATAAAGGAACTCCTATGTAGCATCGGAAGAATGAAGTAGACTGATCCCCGCTCAGCACGAACAACCTCTACTCCTGACGAACACCTGAAAAATAATGGTGGGTCAGGCCCACAAACAAGTTCTACTCTACTACAGTCCAAGCAGAGATCCGATACACGTATACATCCTAGTCAATCCAACAGTAACTAGTAGTCCGTATATATATATATATATATATATATATATATATATATATATATATATGTACACACACACACTAAAGGAACCTCACTAGACTATAAGGTTGTCTCAACCTGAATAGTAGGCAACATACAAAACACACATATAGTGGGCATGAGTACCTAGACCTACCAGGGTACACAATTACACTATATTTAGCTACACATCCCTGGCGATATACGCGCTCTAACCACTGATCCTGAGACTCAAGCTCATATCATGGCACCATACTTATATATATATATAATCTAGTAACCATCTTATCCAGTTTAAATTAATCCTCCATAAGTCATTCAACTTGTTCAGTTGACCTGACTTGAATATAAGTAGGACTTAGCATTTTAGTTAATCCATTCCCTTATATAATAAATTAATCCTCCATAAGTCATTCAACTTGTTCAGCTGACCTGACTTGAATATAAGTAGGATTTAACATTTTAGTTAATCCATTCCCTTATATAAAATAGGTAGGACTTAACTGATAAGTTAATCCGTCCCTAAAATGCCACCATCCCATACCGGTGCATTAAACTACACAATCCAACAATTGATGTAACGATAAAGGAAATACATCAAACAATCCAGAAAAACTATGATAATATGATATCAAGTTATCACAAAATAGGAATGACTTATTATTTATTTAAGCTTCCTATATCATATGTCATACACAAACTGAATCTTATAGATGATGATATTTTATTATACCGTCAAATAAGTATTCTCCATATCCAATTCATCCTACACATTTAATCTTAATTACTAAAACATTTTAAAAGATTAAATCCATTCGTTTGTTTAAAACATTCAAATAGCAAGCATCATTATGATTGAGTCTATTTAAATTTATTTAAACCCAAACCTAGTTCCTATTTAATGTTCAGGAATCCTAAGCATGTTTTTACGTTCCATCATTCCACAGATATGAAAAATACATAATGTAAACATATAAAAATTTACACCGAAAATCAAATCAAAATCATGCATTTATCAATTCATAACACAAGAACAGATATGAACCAATTTCATAAAACCTATATTCTAATCCAATTAAATATGCATAATTATTTAATTTTATGTGTTTAATAAATCCTGAAATTTCCTAGGCGTGCATAGAAACACGAATCAAAGGGAAAGAATTAGAAGAAGAACTTGCCTTAAACTTTCGGATCGAAAGTTTAACTTCTTCTTCTTTGATCTTCTCTTTACAGGGTTTGTTTCCTCATTCCTTCCTTTTCCTCCTTCCCTCTCTAATTCTCTCTCTCTAGAATATATCACGTGAATATTTCTAGCCCCCTTTTACAACCTATAACTATATATTTATAGGCTAAATAAAATAACCCAAACCATTTTCCCAATCCAAGTCAACTTTAAAAAATAAATATTAAAATATTAAAAAGGTAAGTAAAATATGTTACGTATATAATTTATGTATATCTTTATTAAATAAATAAATTATGTACGTCCCATTATTTATTAATGAATTATTCAATAATACTTAAGTTACCATAATATTATAAAGTAACTTAAAACATAACACGTATCAAATCTATGTATATTTTTATTATTTAAATATAAAACATATACATCAGATTAAATATTACGATCCAAGTTACCATAAAAGTAATTAATAAATTACTTTCCCTTTTATATATATTAAAAAGGTAAGCAAAATATGTTACGTATATAATTTATGTATATGTTTATTAAATAAATAAATTATACACATTCCATTATTTATTAATGGATTATTCAATAATACTTAAGTTATCATAATATTATAAAGTAACTCAAAACATAACACGTATCAAATCTATGTATATTTTTATTATTTAAATATAAAACATTTACATCAGATTAAATATTACTACCCAAGTTACCATAAAAGTAATTAATAAATTACTTTCCCTTTTATATATGTATATAATATATATCTATATATATACATGCACAACCATCCATAGGTAATAATCCATACACATCCAACCTCCTATCCAAGTAGTCCATGGGACCCTGAAGATGCAAGAACTTCCTCCGATTTTTCTCTTTCTAAAATTCTTACACTTCAACAGAATAAAAAAAATCCAAAAAGCCCCCTTCTCTCTACTCGTATGGTCTATTTATAGTCCATCACCAAAATTCTAACCAACTTATTGTATATGGCTTTTATTCTAGGGCCTTCTTCCTTTTGGGCCTGGCTTCATTATGTGAGCCTCAGATGTTGGGCCTAACTCTCAGTGTTGTGCTATGGGCTGAGTTCAACTGTTCGGTTCGATCCTTCTTTCGTGGGTGTTGGGCTCATTGCAGTACCTTTTTTGCTTGGGCTCGGACCTACCATTCAATCTGATGCCTTACTCGCGGGTTGGTGCTGGTCCAATCCGTCTTTGGTATCTTCAATTGCCCCCATAATTACCCCCTAGTAAATAAGGGGGTAATTATTATCGGCGGCTAATCATGACACTGACGGCTCAAGAAGACCTCGTGGGAAAATGGACGGTCAGATCTAAAACCGATGCTTCGAGATTCCAAAGAAACTCCTCGTTTTCCTGACGCTTCGACCTTCGGGCCCATTCTGTCCTTATAAGTATCAGAGACGTTCCCTCAAACCTTTTTTCTGTCTCCATCTTGCATCACTGTTGGCCAAATCTTTGCTTGCCTCTCTCTCTTTTTAGTCAAATCAAATCAAATCAAATCTCCTCCGGCGAACCTCTGCGAAAGCTCTTTTTTCCAGCGATCTTGCAGTAATCTACGTTTTCTCCTTCTGAGGTTAGTTTCGTTTGCCTTTTTCTTTTGGAAGATCACTTTTTCTCCCTTAAAAACCCCATTCATTTTCACCATGCCTGTAGATCTAGATGTTCTTCGCATGAAACTTCATCTCCTTGTCGATATAGAAATTAGAAACTGCCCTAAAGACGTGGATATCAGGACTTGTGCCGGCCTTCTTCCCGGCGAAGTCTTGTTTACCCATCTTCAGTTGAACATCATTAGGTTTCCTTTGCATCCTTTCTTTAATTATGTTTTCAACAAACTAGGAATCTCTCATCTGCAAGTAAATCCAAATTTTTTTAGGATCCTATCCGTTCTGCTACTATTGACCCGTGACAAAGGTCTGGATCTTGATATCACAGATTTTCTTCTCTGTTACAAGGTTAGTAAGATCCGACTTGAGGAACCATTCTACCACCTCTACCCGATTGAAAAGATGTCCATATGCAAAGACACACTCAAGTCTGAAAAGGGTTGGAAAAACAACATAATAGGGGTTAGGGGGGCCTGGTCTTCTCCAGTTGCAGAGGATTATCCAATCTCGAGCACCTTTGGCATGTGTTCTGTCTCTTCGTATAAGAAATTCAAAACCCATAAGAACGATTGTCCCTGTGAAATTTGTGTTCCTCGCTTTTGTACTTTCTTGTGCCGTTCCTTAGGCATTCCTTGTGACGATTTGAACTACAGTGTTTGCAGGGATAGGGACAATTACTTGAAGAATTACGTTCTGAACGACGTTCTTTCCTGCTCAGACCTCCTTACCTCAGATAACCTTCTCGCCATTTCAGACCTTGGCAGTGCAATGAGCCAGCTCCAGATTCTTTCATTCGGCAGAAGGAAGAATCCTCCCCGAGTTACTATTGCTGCTGTTACGGCAACCTCTTCTCCTGCCTTGGCTTCT